GGCTTGGGTCAGGATTCGCCCGGGGACCGGGTCAGTTAGGTAAAGGCCCCTGGGGCTCGGGGGTGGAGAGCGGGAACGAGGTTTGAGAAATAAGGTTTTCCCCGCCCATCCAGATCCGCGTGCCCATTGCTGCACAGGTACGCGTGTCTTGGAGGCAGGGGGTGCGCGATCGCCTGGCAGGGGCGCCCGAGCGACCACGTTCTTCTGCCTCTGCCTGTGGCCCCGGGGCAGAGGGCACATGTCTTTACGCTGGTAGCGGTGCTGGACCCGACCCACTCCGCCGGGCACCGTTTCAAACTCCCTCTGCTCCCAGTAATCACTCAGGCTTCTTAACCCGTGTTACAAAAGCTGCTCTTACTCCATCGGGGTTATCTGCAGGATTTTGGAAAAAGAAAGTGAAACATGAGTTCAAAGAACTACTATTAACCCTGGGGAACATGGAGAAAGGGAAGTGGCACTTTTGTGTCACTTTGCCCGGAGGGCACTTGTATGGCTAGTTGCTCCATTAAGTAAACTTAAAATTAAAATACACATTAGTAAAAGGAAAGAGTAATTAGAGGAAAAGTACCTAGTAAGCATCCCTTACCATTTTCTCAATTGTATGAAGTAAATGGTATTATACTTGGCTAAAACTTTGTTAGGCAAAGACATTTGGTAGATGGAATGTCAGAAAAACCGCTTGGGCGAAATGAGGGGGATTTTGTGTGTGGTCTTGTCTGTTTGTTGTTGAAGGCCTTGGAATATAGTGGTAAAGCATAGTATTCTCGGGTAGTATTGTTGTTGTCACGTGTTTTTTGTTTTTATTTACCAATTCTTAAATATTTTGAAAGCATATTTTGGGATCTTATTTAACTTAAGTTGCATTTTGACGATTTCTTTCCGATCCCCGTCACGTTTTGTTTATGATTCTTAGGTGACCTTTGTAGACCTAAGTTTTCCTTTACAAGTAGTCTTTTAAATGGGATTTTTAATTAGTGATCTACACTGTACTGCAAGGGTTCAGAACATTGTAGTGTGTGGTTTACTTGGCTCTAAAGTCTACACATGTACTCATTGATTCAGTCAGTAGTGTTTTCAGTATTTTTACTGTTGAGTTTAGAATCGTTTCATTCATAGCTGTGTGTGTTTTAAAACTGTGTCATTAAAATTGGAGCTCTGGTAGGTAGTCTGTTGTTGCATACCTTCAAGTCAACTCCGACTCATAGTTACTCATATGTACAATAGCTCTAAACCTGCTCTATCTTGAGTCAATTTCCCTGTCTCTGCCACACTTACCCCAATCTGTTGTTGTTGCTGTTAGGTGCCGCCAAGTACCACCCAGAGTGACCTTGTTAACAAAAGATTCTTCACATTTACAAGAGTCCTTAAAGTCTTTTTTTTCCCCAGTTTTTCCCTTTTCTGTTACATAAATGATAATCTTTACAGGGAAATCTGGTGGCTTAATGGTAAGGAGTTGCACTGCCAACTAAAAGGCATGCAGTTTGAATCCACCTGCTTAAAGGGCGAAAGATGGACAGTCTTCTACGCGATTTACTACCTCAGAAAACTTGCTGGAAGGTCAGCTGTGAGTCAGTTCTGACTTAAAGGTATATAACAATCGCTAGAGATAGTGGTTATTGTTAGTCACTGTATAATCCTCCTGACTCGTAGCATCCCTGTGAACAGCACATCTTAACTTTGCCTGCACCATCTTCACAGTCTCTGTCATCATCCTCAAGCCGATTGTGGTAATTACTGTGTCAGTCCGTCTGAGTTTTCCTCTTTCTCTGATTCTTAGCATGATGTATCTCTTCAAGTACTGGTTCTCCCTGAAAAGAGGCCTAAAGTAAATTCTCTTTGCCTCTAAGGAACACTGGTTGCACTTCCTTTGAGATAGACTTGTTTGTCCTTTTGCAGGGCCATGCTATATTCAGTACTTTTTCTCCATTACCACAGTTCAAAAGGCATCGTTCATCTTTGGTCTTCCTTACTCATTTTCTAAATTTCATATGCATTGGAAGAAGCAATTGGAATTAGCACTCTGAGCACTTTGGAGAGGTGCTTGACAACAGAATTTTCCAATTTAACACGTCTTTTGATTTCTTGACTGCTGCTGCCATGAGTGGTGATTGTAGATCTAAGTAAATGGGTATCATTGATAACCTCAGTCTTTTCCAACTCATGATATTACCCATTAATCCAAGTGGAGAGGATTTTTGTTTTCTTGATGTTGACATGTAACCCATATCAATGGTTGTAGTCATTGGCGTTCTTCATTATGTGCTTCAAGTCTTCATGTAGCACTTAGATGTTAGAACTTTCCAACTTCTGGCCAGTTAAAATTTAGGTATATTGATGGACGCAAGCAGTATGTTGTTTTCATCCCACCACATTGTAAAACTGAAGGAAGAGTAATGAGTGTCTAACCACTACAGAAGTTTTTTTAGAAGTAAATGAGGTCCTGGACGAGCAGATCACAGCGTGTAAGAATTTTCATGTTCTTTGTATGCCTTAAGACGATCCTGGATAGTTTTGATCAGGCTATGAGTCAGCCCCAATTCAGTGTTACACAACAACAACAACATTCATTTCTATAACCTCATATTTTATCTTGTAGCATAAAAGTAAAAGATAATTTCCCATAGGTAAATGTAGTTGTTGCTTGGTTTTCACCTAAAAAGATTGCCTGTAGGTGTTAATCATTAAAACTTCCAAAATTGTGTAAAGCAGAATTATTTACTAGATTGTATTTATAACTACCTAAGTCAGAAGAGGCTCTGGTGGCCTACTCTCCAGGGAGCTGCACAGTTAACCCGAAGACTGGGCCTCTCCAGCTGTCCAGTCTACCAGGAGAAAGGATCTACTCAGGAAGGCACAAAGGTGCACAGTCTCCTCCCTTTTCTATTTCAAGCCTCCGAAAACCCATACATGACTCAGGGGGTTAGCCATGGGTTGCTTCTGATTTGAAAGCAGTACTTTGATTTAAGATCAGTTAATAGAACACTGGCTGCACTTGGGTTAAAACATTTGATTGTTAACCAAAAGATTGGGGATTCAAATCCACCAGGAGAATGATCATTCAGAAAATGATTCCAAACCTTAGAAACTTTGCAGGACAGTTCAGCTGCCCTCTAGGATCTCTTGAAATCAGAATCAACTGTGTAGGATCGAGCTTGGTTTTAGTTTCTAAGTCCACTAAAGAGTCCAGTGAACTCGAGTTGTACTGCCAACCCAGCAGTACTTGATTCCAGTACACTTAACTGCTCTGTAGGAGAAAGATGGTTTCTCTCTCATATGCAGTTTACAGCTTTTGAAAACCCGCTGGAGGGTCAACTATGAGTTGTTCCCAACTTGGTGGCATGTAACAATAACAAAGTACCCCGGAGGTGCAGTGGTTACGCACTTGGCTGCTGATTGAAGATTGGCGAGCCAGACCTGCCAGCTACTCCGTGAGAGGAGAGTATAGCAATCTGCTTCCATAAGAATGACCCAAAACTCACTGCCATTGAGTTGATTCCACTCATAGAGACCTTCACCCGGGTTTCTGAAACTAAATATTTATGCCCATTTTTCTCCTAAGAGTAGTCAGTCGGTTCAAACACTGACTTTTCAGTTACCAGCACAACACTAGATAAACCCCCACTAAATATGCATGCAGCCTTAAGAATCCTCTGAGGAAATTCAGCTCTGTGCTGTACACTCACTTGTTATTATTGTTGTTGTTAAGTGCCATGGAGTCGTAGACGAGTCGTAGCGACCCTGTGAATGAAAGACCTGAACAGTTGTATAACTTTCATTGTTTCTCCAAGTTCGTAGAGTTTCTGGAGACAGGTTATTTCTGAAGTGGATGCCACTCCTGCTTCCAGACTTATTTTAATCGGAAAGCTCCCCCAAACACTGTTTATCCACCATGGGTCACCATTATTGCATTTGATGCATCAGTGTCACAATGTTAGCTTCACAGCAACCACAGGTTACCTCTGCACAGCAAATAGACCAGTACTCTACCACTTAGAAAAATGTTTGACCAAAAACAAGTAAAACTAAATTGGAAACTACTCAGTGGCAAGAGGTTTCGTTTCTTAGTGGGTTTACTCTGGCCAGGGAGAGGTATATGTGGACTGGTTTTAACCATTACAGTGCATGACTATCAATTGGAACACGTTCATAAAGAAGACAATTTCATTTTTTCTGTTTTATCTTTTGAGTAACCATTAATCAGTTCCTGAATAATTTGTTTATTTCTGAACATTTTACCTATAGCAGATTAATGCAAAATATTGTCAGGACAGATTTAATCCATGCTAATTGTGATGTAATCAGAAAATAATATACGGTGCATGAAAGTAATCCCTCACCAATTTACTTGTTAAACCACATCACACATTGGTAAATGTACTGTTCTGTATCACTTACCTCTCAAAAATTGTAAGCTGGTTATCTAGAACTTAGCACATTTTCATACATTCATTTAATAAGAGTTGTTGTTATTGTTATGTGCTGTTGAGTCTCCTGAGACTCATAGCGACCCTATGCACGATAGCTCTGAACGCTGCCTTATACTGAGCCAGTCACCCCAGCCACAGTGTTGATCCATCTCATCCAGCATTTTCCATTCCAAGCATGATGTCCTCCAAGAGCTTCAAAATCCTTGCCCTCAAGGAGAAACTTGGTTTCATCCTCTGCAGGACAGACCTGTTTGTTCTCTTGGCAGTCCATGGTATGCTTGGTACTCTTCTCCAGCACCACAACTCAGAGTCATCTTCTGTCATCATCATTGTCCAGCTCTCTGATGCATAGCAAGTATTGTGAAGACCAGGATCAGGCACACTTTGGTCTCCAGTCTGACATCATTGCTCTTCAGTACTCTGGAGATGGTAGTATCTTCTATCTTACTGTGAGAGAAAACTCATTTAGAAAAATAACGATGAATTGCATTACTTGTGATTAAGCATTTGTGATTAGCACCCAAACACTTCACCCTCTGTACCACTAGGACTCCTTAGCATGTGAGTAGGTAGTTAAACTTCTGTGGTGAATTGCCTGGATTTTCCTCAAGTGCTCGCTTCAGTAACACATATCCTCAACATCGGAACAGAAGGTTAGCATGGCTCCTGTTGATGGCACCTAACGATTCCTTTTTGCTAAGAGATGAAAATTTTTAGATTGTAGTCAAGACGTTTTTGTTTCGATGCACATTATAGGGTTGATGTGCATTTCAGGTGTTGTATTTTCTTAATCCTTTTTTAAGAAGTTAAAGTAATAATTATTTCTTCCTAGCTTATTATTAATAGATTTGATCACTTTGAATTTTGTTAGCTATCTTGCTTAGCTGCTTACGTCTTAGAGTCCTGTCAGCCCCTGGGTTCTAACCTAAAAACTATTCTAATTTTGATAAGACTTCTTTGTACCTTCAAGTTAGTCTAGTTTTCTGGTATACTTAACTAAAACAGAAAGCTTCTACCTTAATGCCTCCCTCAGTTGTGGATCACACATATTAATACAGAGATTCATATTCAAGGCTATCTTTTAAGCAACATAAAAGTGCTTTATTTCTACAGGGTTGGAGATACACTTCCATAATAGAGAAAACAGAAAATTAGATCTTTCAGATGTGGTTTTGTTGGGGTTTTTTGGTTTGGGATTTTTTTTCTTTTAAATTCCATCTATACAGCATGTTTGTTCTAAATGGAAAGAGTCATTTTAGAAATTTTAGGGTAAGCCAAATTAGTTTTAAGTTAAAGACAATTTTATTGTGATTGAGACTGTACAGCCAAATTAAAGGAGAAACTGCCTTTTCTTAGCTTGAGATCATAGCTAAACAGGGAGAAATGGTTTATGTTCACAGTAAAGAACAAAGATTTATTCTCCTTATCCTGATTTACTTTATTCTTACTCTTTCAGCTGTGCACATATATATTATTCTTCCGGTTATTATTTTACCTATAAACATGTTCTAGTGTGCTTTATACAGTAAAATAAAATTCAAACGATAGTGAGCCACACACCTTTTAGGGTTTTCTCCTTTGAATCAAGGCAGATTTTCAGTATAGGTTCTTGTTATGAATTAATATGGTTTATGGAAAAGAAATTTGTGGTAAGACCTCTTCATAGTTTTAAACTTCTAATGATTTGATACTGTGTTTAGTAGGCCGTTTCAAATTAAGAGGTAATATTTTTAAAAGAAACAATAAGCAGTTTTTTTTTTGGTTTTTTTTTTTTTCTCTTCTGCTATTGCTTTCATCTAGGTTTTCATACTTTCAGTTATAAGGGCAAGAGGGGATCATTTGCAGTACCCCATTATACAGATGAAGTATTGTAATTGTAAAAATATTAATATTGTATAAAATAGAAAACTAGTACGATGTGTATAGAAGTCATTGACTGCAGACTTACTGAATATATCCTATTTAAATAGTAGCAGTTCCAAATACTGACGTTAGTCTGCCCTTTCGTATGGTGTGTAAGCTGTAGGCGTATCGTCCTGAACAAAGAACAGTTCTATGAGAGAAAATGAGATTCCACTCTTCCTCTTTTATTTCCTGTGTCCACTTTTAAGATTTTTTTTTCTTCCTTACGTTTGCTTATGACACTTAACACTCTCCTGTGGAATAGCTTTTAAGCTGTTTAACTAGTACAAGTACCTTAAGAACGTAGGAGACTTCTTTTTTATTCTGCATAGCCATAAACTTATTGCAGACCTTTTCTGTTGTGATTTATGTTCTGTTCTACTGATGGTTTTTTATCTAAATTATTTTTCTTTATATAGGTTACCCATTATAAACAGTACCCACCCAACACAAGCAAAGTTTATTCTTACTTTGAATGCCGTGAAAAGAAGACAGAAAACTCCAAAGGAAGGAAGGTGAAATACGAGGAAACAGTATTTTATGGGTTGCAGTACATTCTGAATAAGTACTTAAAAGGTACTACTTTTCCTAGTATATTTGAAACATTGTTTTATATGACTTTTCTTCCTGTATTATTATACTCAATTATATGAAGTAATTTCCAAGTAGTTAACTTTGATATAACTACTTTTCTTGGAAAATATTAACCTGTTAATTTGATTGCATGAAATGTTATAATTTAGGGTATGAGCTGCTTTTTGTAAATATAAAAATGCCAGGTTTTTGAAATTCATAAATTTTGTGGGGTTGTTTTGGGGGGGTTGTTTTTTTTTGTTTTGTGTTTGGGTGTTTTGTTTTGTTTTTAGTTTGTTTTTGTGTGCGTGTGCGCACGCACGCACGCACGCACGCACGCATCAAATCAGATCTGACTGGTACAGGAGGAGATTGTCCCTCCTTCTCCAGCAGAGCATCGTGGATTTGAACTGTGCACCTCTGGGATTGTAGTGCAGCTTCTCGCCACTCAGCCACACAAGCCAGCTTCCTCCTCAATGAAGAGAGATTAAAGGCATCTTCCTGAAAACAGAGACTAGAAAAAGTTGCCCACTATCACCACACCTATTCAGTATTTTATCATAAGTCCTAGTCAGAACAGTAAGGCAAGAGAAGGAAATAAGAGGCATCCAAATTGGCAAAGAGGATTTAAAACCATCCCTGTATGCAGATGATATGATAGTATACTTAGAAAACCCCAAAGACTCAGCAAGAAAACTGTTGGGCATAGTTGACGAATTCAGTGAAGTAGTTGGATATAAGATCAACATGGAATCAGTCTGGTTTCTCTGTGGTAGCAAAGAGAACATAAAAAGGAAATAAAAACAATACCAATTATAATAGCTAACCACAAGATGAAATACTTAACAACCAATCTAACTAGAAGAACAAAATACTATGTAACATCAAAACAGCAGTGAAACTGTTTCACCCCAGTGGCAGTAGCAAAGTTTTAACAGGACAGTGAGCATTGTTGAACAGTGTATGGAGAGATAGGAACCTTCATGCACTGCTGGTGGAATTTTAAAATGATGCAGCCATTTCTTCAGAAAGCTGAACATAGAGAGATCCAGTATGACCCAGCTATTCCACTACTAGGAATATATTCCAAAGAAAATACAACTGAAACCAAATGGAGATTTGTACTCCTGTGTTCATAGGAGTATTATTCACAATAGCAAAAAAAAAAAAGGAAACAACTCAAATGCTCATCAACAAACAAATGAATTGAGAGATTGTGGTACATTCACACAATGGAATACTATGCAGCACTAAGGAACAGTAATTTCATAAAATACTATGTAACATGACAGAGTCTGGAGAGTATTGTGCTGTGTGAACTAAAGCCGTCTCCTAAGAACAAACACTACATAATTATTGTAAACATAGAAGTATAGCTAGTAGGATTTATAATAGTCCAAAAGGGGAAGAGGCAGGGACAAGGGGAAAGAAAATGGGGAGGGGGAAAGAAATCATTAAGATAGCCAAGTTTGGCTGACTCCAGCTGCGTTTAAGTGGGCTTTCACTGAAGCACACATTTTAAATAAAACATATTTTTTTTTAGGGGGTGGGTGGAGGAAGATAGAGGGGAGTTCTGAAAGAATGGGAAAGAACCAATTTAAACCTTTTCCTTATGACTCAGGGTGAAGTCTCTCTCAGGGAGGAGTGATAGGGAATGGCAAAGGACACACTGACAAAGAAGATTAATCAGAACTGGCTTTG